TGGGTGGGTGGGTGGGTGGGTGCGCTGGGAGTGGGGGCAGAAGGCTGTTTTGTAAAGGAGCACAACGTTTTTATCTTTATTTCGTAATTCTGAACATTCACTTTTTGGGGCTTTGGCCCTTTGGGGTTATTTCCTTCTTTCCTTCCTTCTCTTTGTCCTCATCACTTCCCTCTGTGCTTCCCTCCTTTTCCAATTATCCATCATCCATCCTTCCTTCTTTTCATTTTTCCCTCCTTCTCTCCATCCCCATCTTCCTTCTTCCCAGTTTTTTCTTCCTTCCCTCTTTCCCAATTTTTAATTTTCTCTCTCCTTCCTTCCCTTCCTTTATTCTTTCCTTCCCATTTTTTCCCTCTTTCTCTCCATCCCCATCTTCCTCCCTCTTCATTGTTTTTTCTTCCTTCCTTCTTTCCCAATTTTTCATTTTCTCTGTCTCTCCTTCTTCCCACCCTTCCTTTATTCTTTCCTTCCCATTTTTTCCCTCCTTCTCTCCATCCCCATCTTCCTCCCTCTTCCTTCTTCCCAGTTTTTTCTTCCTTCCCTCTTTCCCAATTTTTCATTTTCTCCCTCTGTCTCTGTCTCTCTCTCCTTCCTTCCTTCCTTCCTTCCTTCCTTCCTTCCTTCCTTCCTTCCTTCCTTCCTTCCTTCCTTCCTGTGTTCTTTGCCCCGTGGTGTGATTTTGGGCTCAGCTCCTGCCTTCCCTTCCATGGGGTGAGGGGACAAAGGTGGATTCGCAGGTGCCTGTGTGCCTTTGATGTTGCAAGCACAACCACACCTGTCAGTAACCAAAACAAAGGGAGAGTGCGAAAGGCAGGCGGGGAGCCGGGAGCGGCACATCCTGGCCAAGTGGCACAAGGGGCGGATTCGGCCCCCGAAGGACGGACCCCAAAGTCTCCCAAGGGTTGAATTTTCCTCTTCCTGGCTTTGATGTTATTATTCTTGTTTTCACTGTGCACAGGTGGTCCTCGACTTACGACCACAATTGAGCCCAGAATTTCTGTTGCTGAGCAAGACGGCTGTGAAATGTAGGCCACCGTATTTTACAACCTCCCTTTGCCAAAGTTGTTAAGTGAATCACTGCATTTGTTGTTACTCCCACGGTCATTAAGTGAATCCGGCTTTCCCGTTGACTCTGCTGGTCAGAAGGTCGAGCCCAGGACACTGCGACCGTCGTAAATACGAGTCAGTCGCCAAGCATCCTAATTTTGATCCCATGGCTAAGGGGGTCCCGAGTCCCCTTTTTCCAGGGCTGTTGTAAACTTTGGACGGTCACTAAACAAATGGCTGTCAGTCGAGGACTGCCTGGGGGAGCCTTCCCCCCCTCCCCGCGTGGCAGGACCCCTTCCAGGGCAACTTTTCTGCCTCGGTGGCACAAGAGACGGAATCCAGGAGTGGTTTTCCCACGGTCCCTCGGCCGAAGGGTGGGAGCATCTTTGAAATGTTTTCCCCGCCGTTCCGACCTCGGACGCCTCCTTGTTTTGAAGGAAAAGCTCTCCTTGGGACGTGGGGCTGCTTAAGAAAACAGATCCCTCCCCTTCCTTCTTTTCAACTTGGACCGACCACCCGGCCCATGGGCCACTCCTTCCTTCTGAAGCCCTGCCAGGCTCCCCTTGGGGTTTAGGGAGGGTCTGGACGGAGCCCCTTTGATGGAGGCCACGCCAGCAACCTCCCCCGTGGGGCTCCCTTCCCACATTCTTGGTCAGGGTGAGCCGGTGTGCTGGGCCGGCTGTGGGGATGATGGGCTTGTGACCTCCTATCCCCGCTGGTGGGTGGGACTCCCAAGCAAGTGCTGTAAGGGGGATTTGAACCCTGGGCTTCTTGAGGGAGGCCTGCAGCCAGGTACGCCCCTCCTTAAGGGAGCAATGCTAGTCTAGAAATGGTTTGCTGAACAAAATATATATATTTTAATCGAATAAAGTAATTTGTGGCTTCCCATCATAAACCGAGTGTGTTGCATGGAGCAGATCAAACGCTGCGTTTATAGTTTGCCCACCAAGTTCTACAGATCGTCCTCGTTTATCGGTGGCCTCGCTTAGCGACCATTCGCGCTTACAACGCTGGCAGAAAGGCAACCTTACAGGCAATCCTCACAGGGATTTACGGCCTTTGCAGGAGATGGCGTCCTTGCTGGGTTTGGCTAACGACTTCTTGGGTGGTTCAGCCGCGCAAAGTGTCCGGGACTTGGGACTCAAACAAACAAACAAAAAATTGAATGGTTTTGTGGAAAGAAAATGAGGGGGAAGAAGTTTCTCCAGCTTTTGTGACCTGGGTTTTTTTTTTGGGGGGGGGGGGATGGACCTGCTTTCCCCCTTCCCCATCCCTGGCCCCAAAGGCAACCGGCTTGTGCCCGCGAGCTGGGCGCAGGGAATTGCAAAGCAGCCTAAGAGCAGGCAGCTTGCCCCAAATCCGATTCACGCGGCTGCCAGCTCAGCCTCCTCGTCCGTCCGTCCGTCCGTCCGTCCATCGATACCCTTTGGACCACAACAATGGACATTCAGAGCGTGAGAACTGGAGCGGGGCATGGGGGGCCGTCAGAGCCTCCCAAAGCCGCTTAGGTCAGCTGGCGAGAATTGGATGCCCGGATTACTGGCACGGAGCCGGACCGCGCTCACCTCTCGTAACCGGCAGCCCAAACGAGCCCTGGATTGATAGCCTGGTTAAGGGGGGGGGGGCTAGGAAGTTGGAAGATTGGTGGGAAAAAGCTGGCTTGTTTCTGTGGTTAACCTGGCTTGCAGTCAGGGAGCGTAACTTGGTTTTTCAGAAGCCTTTTTAAAAAAAAAATTGTTTCTGTCAAATCCTAACTTAGGGAGCGCCAAGGCAAAGCACAGGCAGTCCTCAGTTTAGTGAGGTTCAAATGGCACTGAAAAAAGTGACTATAATCTTGCAAGTCTGATGATGCTGTTGCACTCCCCCCCCTCTTATACCCAGGTGAAATGGGGGGGTTTCTACCTGAACCGCTTCTGAATGTCATCCTGTAATTCTGGACTTAATAAAATGCTCTGGACCCCAATTCTGTCTCACCTATGGTCACTCTTGGGGGTCCGAGGTCATTCAACGGTGCCAACTGGGACGTGCCGGTTGGTATCGGGGCTGGGTGGCGTTTCCCAGTTCCACCAGTTGCTGCCCCGTTCTTTGCTCCCAGTTTGACTAACCCTGGGTCTCTTTCTTCGTCCCCGCAGATGACCGCCCCGTTGCTGCTGGCCGTCGGGGGTGCCGTGTTGGGGTCCCTGCAGTTCGGGTACAACACCGGAGTCATCAACGCACCGCAGAGGGTAAGGGCCGCTGCCGCCTGGCACCACGAGTCCCACCACCGCATTGTCCTTCTGGCGGAAGAGCCGGCTGGCCTCAGCCGCCCCCCCCCCCAGGGAGCCCAACGGGTTGCAGAAGAGCAGTGCATGCACAAATCCCCTTTACGAAGTGCTGTCACGTAGTTGTGTATGTGTGTCTGTGTTTGTTGCCACTGGAGTTTCGGAAGACGGTTGCAAGTAATTATTTTTTTTTTGGGGGGGGGGAAGGTCTGTCGTAAGTTCAAACAAGGGCTCTCTGGAAAAGAAGGCGTACTCTGTGGACCCACAATCCAGCTAGTTAGTTGTAACTAACTAGTTGCCAGCTGGTTAGTGCTTCTGCAGCCCTAGTAGCCTGTG